GCGGGGGGCCGGGCGGAGTCGCGAGTGGGGGGGTCACCATGACAATGGGGATGGGCCGGGGGCAAGTCAGTCGTTGGAACTAAGCCCTGAGTGCCCCCAGACTGTGCTGGGCCTGTTGCCCCTGCAGCGTGACCCTGCCGCTCACCCCCGCTGTTGCATCCTGCAGGTCATAGGTGGAGCGGGCCTGGATGTCGACTTTTCCCTGGAGAGCCCCTCGGGCGTGCTGCTGGTCAACGAGTATCGGAAATCTGATGGGGTGCACACGTGAGTGTGGCCAGCTCTGCCCCTTATGCTCCCACTCCAGGCTGTGCACAGCTGGAGGTGCACAGCTCTCAGCCTGTGTCGGCTAGCCTCATTGCATAACCCAGGGATTCCTTGCATGTCCTCATGCCGCTCGTCCATCCCCCTCTTCTTCAGGCTCTCCGTCTCTCCGCCGGGATTCTGTGTGTTCCTCATGTCCACCGTTTTCCCTCTCAGTGGCTCTGTGTCCACCCTCCTTCCCTCTCACACCTAGTGTTTTGTCACCCCAGTTCACCCCACTAGAGAGTCTTCCAGGGTTCCCCATTCTCCTCCAGGCCCTTGAGCCTGTCTCTCAGCTGCCCATTTCACAGGGTGATATAACGATAGAGCTACCTGTGTTTTCTGACAGAGCTGTGCGCCCCAGACACTGTTGCTTTGCCTGGGCCTTGGGAGAGTGGTGAGTGGAACTGGCGCATTCTCACTTCCCTGACCTCTTTCCCCAGCATTGAGCCCACAGAAGCAGGCGACTACAAACTCTGCTTTGACAACTCCTTCAGCACCATCTCGGAGAAGCTGGTTTTCTTTGAGCTCATTTTCGACAGCCCCCAAGAGGACGAGGATGGAGATAACTGGGCCGATGTGGTGGAGCCGGAGGAGATGCTGGACATGAAGATAGAAGATATTAAGGTGGGTTGAGGAATGCAGCACAGAGACTTGCTAGTAGGGCTTTGGTTGTAGGTTGTACTGGCTCAAGTTCTGTGGCCTGTGCAGTGCCGGGGACTGGCTGTATCTTCAGGATCCTTTCTGGCTTTGGACTCTGAGTTCATCAGTCACCCAAGAGTTGGATGGGGTGTCCAGTGGCAGGGAGTCAGAACTCTCAGGCCTTTCCCCCCAGCAAAATGAACTCTTGGGGGAATGCTTGAGCTGCCCTCAGCACTTCCTGCCCCATGCAATGTGGCTGATCTGCCCGTTCTGTTCTCCAGGAATCCATCGAGACCATGAAGACTCGCCTGGAGCGGAGCATCCAGATGCAAACGCTGCTGCGAGCCTTTGAGGCCAGGGATCGCAACCTGCAGGAGAGCAACTTGGGCCGGGTCAATTTCTGGTCAGCCGTTAACCTGGGGGTGCTGGTGGTGGTTGCCTTCCTGCAGGTCTACATGTTGAAGAGCCTCTTTGAGGACAAGAGGCAGGTCCGAACGTAGCGCGGGAGAGCAATGGACTCCATATTTCTGTGAGGGGGAAGGGACAGAGCCATGGTCCTGAGGCTGGGGAAGTCAAACACCCAGCATCTGATAGATCAACTGTGTGTAACTTTCTCAAATTGCTGCTGCTTCTCTTCTGGGTCTCTAAAATGGGCCTCTTTGTACTGGGGGGCGGGGGAGGGAGGGGAATGGATGGCAGGGGTCTGTCTGTGTGGGGTGGGCAGTATTGGTTGAAATCCGTTCTCTATTGACTTGACCCCTTAGGCTTGGGGAGGAGGTACTGCAGCCACGGGCCTGTGCCAAACCACCTCCTCCCTGCGACTGCGATGCAGGAAGAAAGCGAAGTGTGGCATGGTGGGTGGCAGCTGAGGGAGCAGCAGGTTTGCTCCGTACAGCAGGGTCTTTCCCCCTAAGGCTGGCAGCCTCTGGTGCTAACAGGTGCCAGTTACAGGTCGGCTGGATCACCTCCCCTGGTCCTGCCGCTCCTCTGTTGTGCAGTTTTGTCAGGATCCTCCTATGTGCCTTAGCAGCAGCGCTTGGTCTGTTTGGACCTCAGCCGAGGCCTGGCTATGTCCTGCTGCCCCTTTCGCCTTGTTCACTGCTCTTGTTCCCCTGGGTATCCATGGAATCCCCACATGGAAGGGTCTGGCCTCTGAGGCAGTAGGGACTTGGCTCCACAGAGCCTACAGACTGGTGCCAGGAGGTAAAGTAGCCTCTTCACTGTGCGCTGCTGCAGTGTGGCCCTGGCTTTGGGGCCAGCCCTGTGGCTCGGCTTTCCTTAAAGCTGTGTGTGCAATCTGCCCCATTTCCATGGTGCGCTCTTGCTTGAGCCAGCCACGCTCGGCTCGTGGATAACTCCCTTCCTATGCTGCCCTGTTCCAGGGGCATCTCTTACCTCTGGGCCAGTCTCCTGCCAACGGAAGAACAGCCCGGTTCTGGTTCTCAGCAGATTCTAACCTTTCTGCCATTGCCCTGCCTTGGTGCCTTTTCTCCCTGTCCTGTTTGCCTTTAAGCCTTGCGATAGTCCGCTAACTGGGACCATGGATCCCAGCATGGCACCTCGGCAGCAGGAAAGCGTAGGCCTCCAGTTCTGCCCCTCCCCTGGGTTGAGGGTGTGTGTGTCTTGCAGCAGCACCAGTGATGTGGAGAATTTGTTTCCAGGCACCAGGGTAAGCTGTGGAAAGTTACCCCGGAGGGTCTGGGGCTGGGAGGGTCCCACATGAGCAGGTAGTGCTGGGCTGATGGAACCTGGAGCGCTCTGTGGCTGAGGGCCAGATATGCAGGGCCATTCAGGGTGAGCTGCATCTGCTCTCTGTCCGGTTAGTGGGGATCGGCAGCGCCAGCCATCACCGTAAATTGCTCCATCCCTGCCGTAGCCGAGGGGGCTCAGGGTCCAGGTCGGACTCAAGGGGAAAGGGAGGCTGCATTACTGGGATCTGCCTGGGACAGCTGGGTTCCCCGGGCTGGCTGACCCAACCCTCCTGAGGAGGGGCTGTGACAGCCAGAGGAGGCCAGTGGTGCTGCCTGCTTGCTCGCCTGCCCTGCTGGAAAATAGCCCTGATCTCCGCATCAGCTGCTGTGTGCCAGACACGTGCCTTCCAGACCGGTCCCTGGAGAGACTCCGGGGCAGTGCCCTCTCCTGGGCATGGTGCTGCTGTCCACAAGTCGCTAGGTCTAGGGCTCTGGACACAGGATGATTCCAGGAGCTTCTGCAGCCTGGCTTGGTACTTTTATAATGTGCTGGATCCAGCACAAGGGGCTGATTTTGCCCAGGCTCTGGAGAGAGCTGTCCGAGTGGCAGCCTGGAAAACCTGCCACGGGCGGCCGACTTGTTTCCCGTCCTTTGGGCCCCATCTCTGAGTGGGGCCGGGGCCAGGTCCCGCTTGGAGTAGCCAAGCAGAGCCCACTTGATGCTGGGGACCCTTTTCTGATTTCCCCCCACCGCTACTGTGACAACCCAGTGAAGAGCTGAGCCGACTCGCACGCAGACTGTGCTGCTCAGTGAAAGCTGCTGCCTGCCTAGCCAGTAACAGGCTGGCTGGGGGCTGAGCGCTGGGTTTTAATTACCAAAGGGCTATGGAGCCATTCTCTCTAGCGAATATTCATACTGCTGAGCCTTTGCAAAGGAATCGAGTATTTATTCGGCTGGTAAAGGAAGGACATTAAATGACGTTGTTTAAGATGTGTGCTCGTGAATCCATATTGGGCCGGTGCGCCTCTCCCTGCTACGGTGGCTTGAGGGGTGAGGGCCACCATCTCCCACACCCACACTCACATCAGCTGCTGCCTAAGCCCAGCGTAGAACCGGGCGGCTCCGTCTCACAAAGCAAACCGGCCTTGGATGGCTGAGTCGTGCTGAGCGCATTAGTGATGAGGCTTGTAGGCCTGCTCTACGCAAGCATCTCGGCCAGGCTGGGGGAGGCCTCTGCATTCCACAGGGCAGGTCTGGATTCACTGGCGAGCTGGGACCGGCGCTGGCCACGCGGGTTTGTAACTTCCTGCGCGCTGGCCTGGAGAGGGCAACACTGGGAATTCCTGCCTGTTCCATACCAGCGAGCTGAATCTTCGCCAGCCTCCCCTTCTTGCGCTGCCGATTGCGGGGGCCAGAGTTCTGGGCCGTCCTGCCTGCAGTCCCCTGGGGGTGGGGTTCTCCACTCCCTCCCCCTGCGCTGGCTTCCCTCGGTGAGACTCCTTCATTTAACACAATGGGAGAGAGCCCCTTGGCTCCTGCTGCCGGTAGCAGCCCCCTGCATCAGTTGGCTCACTGCTGGCCCAAGCCCTAGTGCTGGGCTTTGGCCGGGGGGCCGACGACGGATTCTGGGGTCGGTGGTTCTGCCGCTAGGGAGGCCTGATGGCAAGCTCAGCGGGAGTGAAAGCTGCAGCCCGAGAGAGCTGGTACCTGCGTAGAAGGCTGTGGGGGTTCAGCTGCAGCACACCAGCTTGGCTTCTAACTTCCCCGCCCCAGTAGGGCAGGGGCACCCTGCTGTGTGAAAGCAAAGGTGCCGGAAACACCGGTGGGCGTTCGACCCAAGGAACCCTCTGGCTCTGACTCCAGGGGAAGCAGGGTGCTGGTCAGCAGCAGCCGGGAGCAAACCTCTTCATGGCTGAGGCCTCGTCTAGCTCTGGGCTGCAGTCGGGACCAGGTCCAGCTGTGCTGGTTGCTCCTGTGCCGGGGGGGTCAGCAGCAGGTCTGTAACGCGGAAAGCGGCCTGCCCTGGCTGTGTGGGCAAAGCTGTTGGCACTTACGCCCCCTCCTTTCTCCTTCAGGGACTCGGAGCCTCCGCCTGGGCCAGGGCTCAGCCTGCCAACCCCTCTGCAGTAGGGCAGGGGCTCTGGGCCCAGACCAGGCCCCCCTTCTGCCTGATGCCAGGAACTGTGCCCCCCATTCCACCCCGCGCCCTTCTCTTTCAGGCTGTCGGCCCCTGACTGCTGGGCACATGGACCCCGCTAATGGGGAGGGGCTGTTTGGCTGGAAGGTTAGGACGTGCTGAGGCGGTGGAGGCTGCTAGTTCTATTAAGCAGGGCCTTGGTGCCTCCCCTCCTGCAGCTTGGTCTCCCCTAGGGTATCCCTTGAAGGAAGGTCGACAAGGCTGGCTCATACTTCACCCCCGGGCCATTGCCGAGGTCCCCTCGCAGGCTCTGCAGCTGGGCAGAGGTTGCAATTTCCTGAGCTGGGAGAGCCGCGTGGGAGGGAAGCGGAAACGTATCCGAAGGCCAGGCACCGAAACCTGAAACGGACGACTGTCTCCGCGGCAGAGGCCACAATTCTTCCTTTACCCTGCTCCGGTGCGAGCCGTCATCTGCAGGGAGCGGGACGAGGAATCCCACGATCGGCCCGAGGCCCTGCCCCGCTTAGCCCCGGGGGGGGGGACAAAATGGGATGATTCAGCTCCAGAGAAATGAGCCTTTTCACCGACTTCTCAGCAGTAACTGGCACGGCAGGAAGAGCCGGCTTCAAAATACCCACCTGGCTAGTGGTGCTGGGAACTAGAGCGTCTGAGTCACAGCAAGAGCCTGTGTTCAGTGAGGGGCACACGCAGCTGAGCTGCAGGGCAGGGCGGGACCGGCAGTGCAAATCCTCAGTGGTTTAATCTCTCACTGCCCAGGGCAGTAGCGGACCAGATCTCCCTTTTCATGCACACCCCGTGGCCACGGGCGGCAAGGGAACTTCTGCTGTTCAACTGCAGCCAGGCCCCGGGCAGCAGCCCAGGGGTTTTCAGGTAGCTCACAAAGCACAGGCAACAAGCAGCGGGCCCGTGTTCATCCTGAGCAAGCTGAGCCCAGCACCACCAGAGCTTTGCTTTCCCTCCCCTTTCCCCCCCAGAGTTCAGAGGTGGGGGTTCTGCTGAGACGGGCTGACTTGCCTGGACTGCAGAGCTGCCAGCCTTTGGCCCAGCACAACAGCAAAGCCGCCGGCCCGCCTGGCGGGTTAGTGGAACAGAGAGCCGTAGGTTCTTGTCCGGCCAGAGCTCGGCTTTAGTGTGGATTCCAAAAAGGCCAAATCCCCCGCAGGTTAAAACGGGTTAAGAGGGATTGCGGGGGGCAGCGCCAGTGCTCAGAAGAGGCGGCTCATCAGAAAGGCCGGGAGGGAGCCGGTCGCCTGGTCACAAGAGAGAAAAACAAACACACCCTGTGAGCATCTCTTGGGTCTGAACATTGGTGGGGGCAGGCAGTGGGCCAGGAACCTCCGTCCTGGGTGGCTGGGTGGGAGCCCGAGCTCAGAGCTGCTGCATCTAGGATGTGGGGGCAGGCTTAGGAGCTTGCCCGTGCCAGGCTGCCGCTGCAGAGACCCTACGAGAAGGGCGCGGCCTGGGGCAGAGGCTGACACTTTCCTCCTCCAGCGGGCAGCAGGGGCCTTGTGCCAGCTTCACCTTGCTGGGCAGGAGTGGCCGGAGCACCCGGACTCTTGGCTTTTAGGCCGACATGACCCTGGTGAGTAGCAGCTGTGCCCCCAGCAGAGGGGCAGCCCTATCAGCCTCCGAGACACAGAACCACTGTCCCCCCATTCCCTCGTGCTCTGGGGGGGGCCCTGCCCCAGAAGCCATCAGCCAGGAGTCAGGCTCTAGCAGGTTTCCCTACCCGGGCTTGCTGGCCAGGGAGCACCGTGGCCTGGCCTGGCCGGGCTCTGCCCTGAGCCAAGGTAGTCGAGTGCAGGAGAGCCCGGGCCCGCTGCCCACAACATGGCCACTCCACAGCCTGGCACCGTGTCCAGTGAGCAGCGCCCCCCAGCCCTCACACTTCTGGCCAGTGCCCTTCCTGGGAAGGGCAGCACAAAACCTCTGCATGTGAACGGAGGCCACGGCCACCAGGCTGCTCTTGCTACGCCCCCCCCGCCACGCCCCCACCCCCTTCGGCTCCGGGGCTGGCTGCTGCGATTCCCACCAGCACCGAGGCTGGGGCCAGGGCAGCTAGGGGATTAGCCCTCAGGCTGGCAGTGTGATCAGCCCAGCTCTTCGCACCTTGAGGGCTCTGGCCTCCCAGCAGCTCCAGGCCCTGGGGAAAGTACAGAAGCCAGGCAGCAGGGTGGCTGCTAGCCCGGGGAGGGAGGCGCTAGTGAGGCGATGCAGAGCCCTGCCCCGAGGGGAGAGGGCTGGCTGGCTGAACCCACCAGCAGCCCAAACCACCTACAGTAGCGCAGCTGGGCACCGGAAAAGGGGCCCTGCCCCACAGCCGGCAGCTGTGCAGACACAGGCGAGGTGGATGCTGGGGCTGGCAGTGTCCAACCCCCCAGGAACTAGAGCAATGCTGCTGCCCCGGGCAGCTTTGCAGCCTAGCTGCGCTGTGAGCACTGCACTGGTCCCCAGCGGCACCCCGGGCGTGCGTAACGAGGCCCCCGCCCCCAGGAGCAGACAGGAGGAGAAGAGGGGACAGGAAGCTGAACACACCACGCAGGGCCCTTGCCACCACTGATTGGTTTCCCTTTATTTTTAGTTTATTAAAAGGGTACAGAACAGAGGCACTTCCATCAGCAAACAGGAGAGGAGAGAAGTGGACAGGGGTGCAGGCAGCACGAGATGGGAACAGGAGAGGAGAGAAGTGGACAGGGGTGCAGGCAGCACAAGATGGAGGGGACAGACCCACGTGGGAACATCAGGGGAGGCAGAACAGAGGCAATTGGATTGTATCAAGAGAGACAAGCAGAGGCCCGTGGGCGCAGGCGGCGAGAAAGGCCCCAGCTCCGGCGGACGGGCGAGGAGCGCGCCATGACGGTGTTGCACGCCGAGGCCAGGGCGGCAGCCAGGGCTGAATGGGCACCAGCGTGCCAGGCCTGCTTTTGGTTTCAAGCTGCTTTGTGCAGCCGCAGCCTGGGGGCTGGCCCAGTGCTCAGCTCGCTTTCTGCTCCTGGGCCGGGGCGGGGCCTCCGCTGGCGGGGAAGAGGCCATGGCCCAGCCAGGCTGCTTTGTGGCTCTTTGCATAGTTCTGGGGCTGAAGCCCACAGCAGAGCATAGGGCCTGAACGGGATTACACTGCCCACTGCCTTGGGGCGCTACACAGCTCCTGCCTGCAGCCAGGGGGCGCTCTAAGGCAGCACTGCTCCCCCCAGGCCACCCCGCAGCCCCTCCGCTGGCGGGGAAGAGGCCATGGCCCAGCCAGGCTGCTTTGTGGCTCTTTGCATAGTTCTGGGGCTGAAGCCCACAGCAGAGCATAGGGCCTGAACGGGATTACACTGCCCACTGCCTTGGGGCGCTACACAGCTCCTGCCTGCAGCCAGGGGGCGCTCTAAGGCAGCACTGCTCCCCCCAGGCCACCCCGCAGCC